AATTTGAAGAATTCATGAAGAATAAACAGTGTCTTGGAAGGCAACAGTTCTTTCTAAAGGCTTCAAAGTCCCTAATGTGAAAATAAATTTGGAAAGCCAAGAAGGTTTTCAGAAGCTGGATGGATGAGCCATCCCAATGAAAACCTGTGAAGATACCAACACAAAAACCTGAGTTATTGATCCGAAAGACTCATACCCTGCTTTTAAAGAAAGCAGCACTTACACAGCCCTGCAGAGTTCCTTAAAGACTCAGTGACCGAGCAGGGGAGGCCGCTGCGAACACGCAGCCCCTTCCATTTCCACCATCAGCGCGTGCTGCAGTTCTCCCACTCTTTGCTTTTCCCCATCCGTGAAAGGGGTATTGTGCTTTCCACCCCTGCAAAGTGCTCTGCCTCCTCCGAGTGCCAGCTGGGAGAAGTTCTAAGTACTAATTTCTAGTTTCTCATAATGATGCTCTGTGGGAAGTGGAAGAAAATAAGCATGACGCAGGGAAGGTCAGATAGGTACTTTCAGGAGACTAGTGACTGGAATATCTTAGGGAGCAGGAGGTGCAAATGTTGTTTGTTGCAGCAAAATGTAGAATCCCTATCTGGAATTTCATTCTTGAGCATTACGGCCTTGGTCCATAGGCACGTGTCTCTTCTACATCTAACCTCTTATCTTCAGATCAGGCTCTGCATCTGTCAGGATTAGTCTGAAGCTTTAGGAAAGATGCCACGAGAACATTCTGGATGCATTAGAACACGCACTACTCCTGTAGGAGACAGGAAGGCAGCCTGAACCTAAACAGACATCAGCTTTCCTCCGTGTGTTACTGTGAGAGCAACAGGCGCTAGATCAGGACAGCATTTTAGCAGACACGAGGCCACAAGTCGCAGTACTGGGTCAGACAGTGTCTTTCTACCTCCACATCCTCCCGCACAGCCCAGCGAGTCACAGGTCGGTCACAGCTACGGCGACACCACAGCACGGAGCTGTGCGAAAACCCGCTCGTGCTCTTCCTCCAAAGAAAAGCTGGCTCGAAGCCTAAAGCACAAGTTTCAGCATCCCTCTGTACTGCACATTTGGCTCAAATTGCCCTCTACAGCGACTGAAGAGCTGAACAAGTTTAACGTTAAAGCCAGTAATTTGTTATAAACAACAAACCACGGCACAAAGTTGCAGAACTGAAGCCAAAGTTACACCCTGTGCCCCCTTTTTTAACGTACTGAAAGGCCTGCAGTAAGAAGCAATAAAGGGAAAACTGAAGGCCTGGCGCAAGGAGGTGTCAGTCACAAACATGCCCAGCCAGCAGACCACCACATAGACACTGCTGCTTCCCACCCGTGCCGGACAGTGCTGCGTTCCGCTCCCGTTCCATCCGGAGCCCTCCCAGCCCAGCTGGCAGGACCTTCCAGGCGGGAACACTAACCCTTGCTGGAAGCCAGCCTGCTTTTACTACCCCACAACCAGACACAGCTTTAAAAGTATTTGATTTCCACAAAAACTTGAGCAATTAAACACCCACAAACACCAATGTCAAGACAATCAGCTTTTAGGTAAAGCCCTATTGCTCCCAGCTGAGGGGACATGGAAACCCCAGCACCCCACTTCTCCAGGATCCACCCAAGCCGAGGGAATCGCCTGTAATGGGAGCAGGACAACAGCCCAAGGAAACCCTTTCGTTTCATTAGGCCCAATGGTTCTCACAAAGGCAGTCATGTTTACAAAAACAAAGATCCCTAAGAACGAATCCGATTCTTCCTCTCCACCACCATTAAGCCAAATTCTGTATTTTCTTAAATGTATTAGTTCTTTCTTGATATTATAACGAGGATGGAAAGAACGGAAAACGGCCAAGCCCCGCGGTGCTGCCCAGGGGACACCCGGTCTGTGTTGGAGAGGAGGAAGCGAGACACGCCACAAAAAAAACATTCCAAAATGTCTCCACAAATTAAACATTACCCCGAGCATTTCTTAACTTCAGAACCATAAAACTAAACCCTTCCTATCTAGGCTTTAATATTTTACTTATCTTTACAGTATCTAAGTTAGCTTGACCAGCTACAGCAGCTGAAAGCTACAGAGCGCAGCGCCCATCTACTGCACGTCACGGGGTTCAACACGTCCATCCTCGGGGATTTTGCCAGCGAGCACCCGCTCCATGCAGGCTCATGTTGGGCTGTGCACACGCTCTCGATGTGGAGAACTTACATTTATCAACCTGCAATCGAGTCCTGAACTACTGGTAAGGAGCCGACCAGCCGATAAGTCAACAGCTTCTCCACAGGAAACACCTTGACCGGTTTACAGGAACAAACTGTTCTCAGGAACATCGCGAGTACTTTTCTTTTCTCAACTCCAAAGTGACTCCTGTCGCCTCCTGTGGCACCATTACGCCTTTCACTTTGTTTCACGTCCCTGATTTTGACGCAAAAGCCGGGGCAAAGTTACTCATTAAGAAAATAGCTTGGGCCCTTTCCACCAAGGAAACGTCACCCCAGGTACTTTGCCATCAGATCAAACGAGCACTCCCTTGGACGCAATAAAAGACAAATAAAAGACAGCAATTGAGGCAAAGAGCTACAGCCGAGGCTGGCGCGCACCCAGAGCCCTCTGTCCTCACCGCTCCTCGGGCAGAACAACCTCCTGCGGCTCCCTGCTCCTCCAAGGAAGGGCTTGGGAGAGGGCAGCGCTTCCCAACGAGCTCTCTGACGAGGGCAAAGCGGCTGCACCTGCGGCCCCCGGGAGACTCCCCCTTCTCCTCCCTACACACAATCCCAAACGTGGGGGGCCCCCACACCTGCAGCCCCCCCGCAGGGCAGAGCCCCCCCAGACTCA